TTCTTTTCCCCCTTACTGGTAGCAATTTGGATTAACTATATGTGTGTTGGTAGTTCGTGAGCGTACTTTCATGTTTTGCTCTGAGTTGTTGTTTGGTTATAGATAAGACAGTCGATGCAAGCAATGGGGATTACCGGCACACTTGGTACGGCATCTGCAATGAGGCCTCTCCATCAGTTGAGGCCTCCTGCACAACCTCAAAGACTGAGGGCTAGCTTAAGTAGCCCGTCTCCCTCTGGGCAGGTTAGATACACTTGCGCTGTTAAGGATTCATCTTCAAAGAGAAAAATAATTAGTAGTGCCCAATGTTCGCGTCGTTTATGTTTAAAAATGGATTCAGAATTAGTAGTGGCTTCATGTTCTCTGAGTGTAAGAATTGACATATTTTCTACGATAAGTTTGGAATCCTGTTGATCTGTTCCATGCGTTTAGAATTTTATGGCTGCTTCTAATACACTTCACATGACATGGTTTGTAAAGATCTAAATCTGAAGAAGTTGTTTACGTTATCATTCTTGAAAATGTGAAGCATAAAAGCACATTAAAAATTACAGCAGGCCAGTTTATAGTGGCCACTTTCAGTTGGGATTGCCAGAGTGAATAACAATAATTTGTTGTTATTGTTACTGTTAGGTTTGGCTTTGAAAGAAACCACCAACTCTAACAAGTGGTTCCTTTTCGTATTACTTTAGTGCCATTCAGAGCGTGACATCTTGCATTCGAGATGATTGATTTTGAATTCTATGTACATTGCTGCCCTGCTCTATCGTGATATGATGCCGCTTTCAACTCTTATGCTTGTATAAAATGGATTTTCTGTTCATTCATTACGTTATCCTGTATAGATTATTTGTACAAGTCACTGTATGTTTCAGTTGCATGAGGTTTTCCTGTTGTGTACTAACTTGAACATGTATCAAACAAAAAATCTTGTTACCTACGGGATCATTACTCTTGTATGGAGATTTAAGTGTGCTATATTGTATTTTTCTTGATGCTAGTGCTCAACACATAGAAATATTTCTCACGAGCAGTAAATATGATGTTTCCTTATTGATTGATGCCAATTTTATTAGAATTTCCAAGGACACAGCATGCATGGGGCTCCCTCACTGGGATCCTCTGGGTCATCACCTTGTAGTTCTCAAACTCAGTCCCCGACTCAACCGTGGTTATCTTCTGGAACTCAAGGCAAACCTCCATTGCCACCCCCTACTTTTCGGCCACAAGCGGGTCCCCAGTCATCCCAGCCAAGGTCCATCACCCAGCAACTTCAGAATAACATGTCTACCACCTCACAGCAGCAGCTAATCGGCTCAAACCAACAGTCACCACAATCCTCAGCCTCAGGCCAGC